TTATTGTTGTTGTTGTTGTTGTTGATATTGTTATTGCTAATATTATTATTATTATTGTAATCATTCTCGTTATGATTAAATTGTAATGATTTCCACTGAGTGCAAACTAAATGAGCTGGTGGTTAGCGGGTGCCACTTGTTTTGTAGGTCCTGCTTCTTTTTTCTTTTCTTATTGTGTTTCTTTCTGCCTGTCTGTCTTGCTTCTTCCCCACACGATATGACTGTTATTGTGTCGATGTCCTTCTCTTTACTCAAATTGGAAAAAAAAAAAAAAAAAAAAAAAAGCAGACAAACTAAATGAGGTTATCAAGTTTATGAAACTTGTATTGTTTTCTAGATCTAGGTCATAAACAACAAAAATCTTAACGTTTGCTTGCGATATTATAAAGGGCTTTTTTCTAGTAGTGTATCCTACTGCACTGAAGAATCTAACGACTTTTCTATACCTTTATTGGTGGGTGGTTGGTGGGTGCTCTGGTGTGGTTTGCTCCTCCTTTCCTATCAAATAACTATCGTCTTTTTCTCTTCTCCTTTTTTATGTTTGTTACTCTCTTGTTACACCTCTAATCTCCGACACTTATATTACCTTATTGTGTTGCAAGTGCCGTGAAACTCTTTCTAAAACTAAAAACCAAATACCTTTATTGCCCCTGTCTCCTTGTAAATACTGCCTCCATCCTTCAGGGTACATAATAGGTGTATCGGCGTCTGTGGTGTAACGGTGAGGCGCTGTGTCTATGCACGCAGAAGACCCGAGTTCAATTCCCGTGTGTGGAGAATTGTTATCAAGCACCTCGGTAGTTTTGCTGGGTTGGTCCTCACAGACAGGGTCGAATCCCGCCTCTCAATTGATCAAAATTGTGTCGGGGTGTTTTTTTTCTTCAATATATTTTTCAATATTTTTTTAACGATTTTTTCTGTTTTCTTTGTATTGTTATTTTTAAATTTTTAAAAAAATTATTTTTTTTTGCGGGGAGGGGCGTGTGAAACAGCTCCATGTTTTAAAAAACATAAGGCGTTGCAGATTGAAGACACATGTGCTTGTTCTAATGGAACTATGCTATTTTGTTTGACAGCTTGTGTTGAAAAAGTGGCGTTCTATTCTATTTTCTTTCCCCTCAGAGTTTCTATTCTATTTTCTTTCCCCTCAGAGTGTCAGTGAAGCTCATCCGACCGTTTGTTATGTTCTTCTTTCTGGAGCCTCAACAATCTGCAACCTACTCGAGCGCACGTACAGCGTTGCGAAGGTGCTTACTGACGGTTTGCTGGCGGAACGGAGCCGAGCGGGTTGCTCTGGATATTGTGACGATGCTGCTAGAACTCCTGCCAAGATTCCCGGTAAACCTGACAAATTGTTATTCGTTTTGGAAGCAGCTGCTTTTTTTCGATTTTTTCCCTTAACAGTGGTGAAAGCTATATTTGGGCTAGTAATAATTGTTAGCTGTCTATTTTTGGTTTGTTTTGCTTGTTTGTTTATTGAGTATTGTTCGGGAATGCTTGTACTAGATTATATTGAGTTTGATGCTGCAACGGTTTGCTTTTTCTGGTCTCTATTTTCTTTTGAAAGTGTGGATGTGTGTCTGTTTTTATGTGTATATGTGTGTGAGCGTGTATGTGTGTTTGTGTGTGTGTGCCTGTGTGTGTGTGTGTGTGTGTGAGAGAGAGAGAGA